CAAAGAACTAAGCAATGAGCTAGCCCCAGTGTTCAAAATACTCTTTCAGGCATCACTTAACCAGGGTAGAGTACCAAAGGACTGGAATGAAGCTAATGTCACCCCCCTATTTAAAAAAGGAGAAAAATCTGACCCAGAAAACTACAGACCAGTAACCCTTACCAGCATCACATGTAAAATCCTAGAACACATAATATGTAGCAACATCATAAACCACTTAGACAAACATAATATCCTCACCCCATACCAACATGGCTTTAGGAAATAGTCCATTGCATCAGTGGATTAGAGATTTTCTGATAGGGAGAGAACAAACTGTAATAATAAATTACTCTAAATCAACACCGATAACAGTAAACTCAGGTGTACCTCAAGGAACAGCCTTAGGTCTACTACTATTTTTTATTTACATAAATGATTTACCAAATTGCATTACCTCAGGAACAAAAGTCAGATTATTTGCAGACGATTGTATAATATTTAGAACAATAAAAAACAACACAAGACTCAGATATTTTACCAAGAGAATTAGATGAATCAAATTGGAGCATGTCTTTCCACCCACTATTTAACCTTGGTTAGGCCATTAATACAATATGCGTCCTCCATTTGGGACCCCTCAACTCAAGAAAACATTAAAAAACTGGAACATACACAAAATAGAGCAGTGAGATTCATAACAAATGAATATTCACATTTGACTAGAGTAACACCCTTAGTAAAATCACTAAATTTAGAAAGCCTTCAGGACAGAAGACTCAAAAGTAAAGTAGCAATTATACATAAAACACTGAACCATAATCTTCAAATACAGAAACAAAATTTTAAATAATACTCTGAAAGACACAAAGATACAGGCACATTCCTCGTTCCATATGCTAGGACAAATTTTTACAAATACTCCTTCTTCCCTAGTGCTATTAGAGCATGGAATGGGTTGCCTGAGCTAGCCAGGAAAACCAGTGACTTGGAAGAATTTAAGTCATTGGTTAATTTGCATGACTAAATGCATGACGCGTAGGACGTAATCATCTTCTTTTTGAAGTAACGTCTGTATTATATAAGATAAGATAAGACATCACACCTATTAGCTACTAACATGGTGAAATAGCAATTTTATTTTTTTTAAATAAAAATGGACAAAGGACAGGCAAGACAAAACAAAACTAATAGTGGCTCTTTCCTCTTCATCATTTAAACAACAAGTAATAAAATGTTCTAAATTCAATCCTAAAAGCATATTTTATTTTGAGAAATTTTATTTACAGGGACAATTAAAATCTACACTGATGTGTCGAACTTGTGGTAAAAAATCGGTGACATTTCAAGTTTTTATGTCTCTTTCACTTCCCATACCAGCTTCATCAAGGTGTTCTCTCATGGTAATAAGTACCTACATGTAGTAGTTTCTGTGATACTTAATAGTAATATTTTGTACACGAATTTTACCAATAACACTTAACAAAAGTTTAGAGTTAAATTATGATGACTGGAGGTTCATTTCTAGAAAAAAAAAGTAGGGCATTAGAGACACTAAAGTATCCTATCTATACTGATTTACTTCACCATCTTCAACCTGTTTTTCTAATCTTCTTGGCTCATTTATTTGTGCCCTAATTCTAAATACCTTAAAACTTTTTTTTTTTTTAAAGTTATGTTGTCTTTACTAGGATTGCTTGAAAGAATTTTTAAAGCCAGAGATCTTGACAGGAAGTAGTAAATGGAAATGTCCTTCGTGTCGTGTTGAAAGGGAAGCTGAGAAAAAAATTGACCTTTGGAAACTACCACCCATTCTGTTGATTGGTCTTAACAGGTAAGGAAAAATACTGTATACTAATAGACAATGTCTGCACATTTAATACTTTTTGTTATTCTTTATATTACATTTCTTCAGATTTTATGTTGATGGGATGTGGCAGAAAAAAACTACTTTTGTTGATTTTCCTTTGAATGACCATGACTTCTCTCAGGTTGTTATTGGCCCTCCAACTCGACAGCGTTACAATCTTTATGGAGTATCAGTAAGAAATATTTATAATTTTTTACATTGTATTAGAAAGTGGTGAAAGAATTTATTTAAACTTATCAAATCAACACATTAAATTTTGTATTAACTTCTGCTATTTCTTTTTTTTTGTGTTCACAGAATCATTTTGGCACAATGGAAGGTGGACACTGTAAGTATTTAGGACTTGTTTCAAATATGCAATGCTTCTGAATCTCATGTGCATCATGTATTTTTGTATTAGTGGGATGCGTGGTGGAAAGGCTAAGTATGCTTGAACTTGGCTTGGCTTGAAGGGGGCTTGAGGTTTGACACCCGACTCAAGCAGAGTTGTGTTTACTGAGCGCCTATAGTCAGTACATAAAAACTTTCTCCCAGATACCCCTCTCCCACCTGGTCCACAAATGAGATTGGACCATAGTGCTCTGAGCATGCTATAAGCATGAAAGTAGCACTATATAAAAGCTATATTTTTTTTTATCAAAGTGATCTCTGAAATGCCTAAATATTAATTTTAACATATTTTTTTATTAATGTGATAAAACATGACTAACATGCATTTTGATAATTACATAGCCTTTTTTAATGTGTCTTTACAGATACTGCCTTCTGCAAAAATCCTGTGAATAAAAAATGGTACAAATTTGATGACCAAGATGTGTATGAGATGTCTAGTTCTGATGTGAAGGTTATTATTTTCATACCATTTTGTTATGCATTTTCATCGTAATCCAAAATTATTTGTTTTTTCTTTGTCTACACTAAAAGATAAACGATTTCCTTAAGTTTATATAAGTTAATCACTGTAATGTGCTTTTGTTTACACATTTTACACAGTTGACATTCTTTAAATTATTAAGAGAGAAAAAGAAGAAATGTGGTGGTGATATAATGGAACCTTTAGGGAAAAAAGTAAGAAAATGAAAAGAGGAAGATTGGGATAGATTTTGAAAGGGGTAGACAAAATAACCAATGTCAGGGTTGCCATATTGAAAGATTTGCCAACTATATAATATAAATTACTTTGTGATTGAAGCATTGAGCTTAGAAGTTTGATTCAGCAGTATTGAAAAGTGCACAGAAATTATTATATGGTTAATTATTTAATTTAATTATTTCACTTATCAATGCTTTCATATTCTGTACACCGGATACACAAAAAGGATTGCTATTAAAAAAATCTAACTTAACATTACCCATTTCTACACCAAAAAAAAACACTATTAAAAAATGTCATCTTACTATTTTTGATCCTAAAAGAAGCACACAGCCACTCAATCTTTCTGAGTTACTGTTAAAAGTTGCCAAAAAAAATTACTTTGAATATCTTTTTAATTGACTTTCATCTATTAGTAATAATTATGTAAAAACTCTTATGCTTTGATGTTTTCAATGGACAAGCTTGTCTTTGATGCAGATGGATGGGTATCAGTGCAATGATTGATCTTAAACATGGTCTCTCTAATCAAAATAATAGTTGACCGGCGGCATAGCATACCCTGCTATTATGCGACCGCAGTGGGCCCCGCACTTTCATAGGACCTGCGCTAATTCTAGGTATATAAATTATTAAAATTAAACCATTTTATAACTTATTACAGATTTCCCGCGGCCTCCTGTCGATTTACCAGGAGCTCCTGGAAATCTCCTGAAATTGCAAAATATACGAAAAAGTCCTGGAAATATCCTGAAATTTTAAAAAATCTTTAGAAAACCTATACAAATCTCCTGAAATATGTAGACAAAAATTGTCCTTTAATATGGAAAACGCCAATCCTACACGTGATGAAAAAAACCCGGCATTATACAATACCTGTAATTGTGGAATCTAGTGAAAGAAGCTTCTCACACCTCAAACTTATGAAAAATTACTTGAGGTTAACAATTCACGTAGATAGATTGAAACATTTGGTAATTCTTGCTATTAAGCGTGATCTATTAAGGAAATGAAATTTTTATGATATACTTCTAAAGTAGTTCTGTACGTAGTAAAGAATGAATAAAATGCAAATTCACTTATTATCCGTATCCCTACCTAAACTTGGCCCCGCAAAATCCCATTTGCATAGGGCCCCACAGCGGTTGAGTCCGTTTAGTGACGGGTGAACACAGAATAGATTACTTGTTCTCCTCCCCCCCCTCCTTTTTTTTTTTTGCTGCTAAAACTATGTGGGGTAGAAGTAAAAAAGAGCGATCTTTCCATGACTTCTTGGTCACAACTGTTAAGTCCGGCCCTGCTATTTTGTGGCGGTTCTCCTGCCCCCCCCCCCTCCCTTTTTTTTTTCATAGGGTAACTGTAGTCCGACTTGCAGAAATAAAAGAGTGATCTTTCCTTTGCTTCTTGTCCAAACTTTTGAGCCATGAAGAGAATTATATATAGAGATAACCGGGTTTCTTTTATCAAAGTTTATGATTACATTTTTTTTTTTTTTTTGTTGCTTTCACCATTGTTACCATTTTTATTTCAGAGCCCTGCAGCATTTGTACTTTATTACACTTCAATGGACATGCCAATCCCAGTCTAAAGACACATTTATAGATGTCTGATTGAAAACATCAAACAGTCAGTGTGACAAACTGTCATCCAAGTTGGAGAGCTTTTTTTGTTTTTTCAGCAAGGATGTTAATATGTACATCTCTACCCAGAACAATGCTGTACAAATAATGATTTTAAACAATATATTTTGACATGTTTAATTACCGATATACTATTTGTTAAAAGAAGCATCAGGCAAGGATTTAATATTTCTGGTACTGGGTTATGATTTACATAATTTTTTATTTTAAATCTGTAAATTGCTTGTGATGTACAAATTGTATGTAATTAACATATTTTACTGTAACTATTGCCTTGAAGTAATTCAAAGTAAAAAAAAAATTCCCTGTAAAAAGTCATTAACTTATAAGTGCCATTATATATAGTGGACTGAACAAGATATACAACAGTGCGATTCATTCTTGTTATTTGTTGTGGACTGTGTGATATATATATATATATATATATATATATATATATATATAATTGTAAATATTTCTTAACTTCTAAGTATATTGCACACAAAATGTGTTTCCTTTGCTTCATTTCTAGTCAAATCAAATTGGTGTGCCAGACATCAGCATGTTGATCCTTTAAATGTTGAGAAGTGAAAACTATGTTAGTAAACAACTAGTTGCTATATGCTTTTCTCGAGCTTGAATTGTTTACATTACCAGTAAATGACCAAGTCTTTTTCAAAACTATATATGTCAGACAATTATCACCAATATGTTTATCTATCTTTGTTTAACACTCTGATTATTCTTATGACATAACCACTTCAAGATGCAAGTTTAAAAATTAAGAATAATCAGGTAACAATAATAACCTTTTCTTTCTTGCAATGTAGCTTTTTATGCAGTTTGTTCATCTGTTATAAATTGATCTATTTCCAAAATTCAGAACCCTATGAGTTAAAAAAGAATGCTTTAATGTGTTTGTTTCTTTTTTGTTTTGAAAAACTGGGTATAGACTAGCATTTCTCAAACTGTAAAAAATATTCCCCTGTTTTTTTTCCAGTATATTTAAAAACTGATAAGTAAAAAGGACATTATCACAGTATTTTTTTTAAATTATGAAGTATGACCTTGAGTACCAGTACTATTTCCATAAGAGTATTCATACTTGATCATTTTGAAATATTTTCTTGCAAAAGACTATTTCATCACTAACTTTTGTGATGACTAGTTACATTACAGTTTTTTCACACCATCTTCCCTATTTGACAAACTTAGATAAATCAAATGTTGCAAATGAAGAATCTTAATAGGAAACAAGCTTTCAAGAAAAAAAATCCATTACATGGGAATGAAAGGACTTTATTTTTTTTTAAAATCAACATACTTCTAGCTGAACTACCGGTCCTTGCATCCTCTTAACATCTCATTGACACAAATTTACATTTTTTAATGCACACAAAAACTCCTTACCAACATCACTAAGCCTATCCTGCTATTGGCCATGAGAACCACTGTCCAGATCTGCTAACACATGTTTGTCACTCCATAATCCCAGAATAACACCATGATCAATGTACCTATCAGCAGTAGGAAATTAACATATTCAATAATAGGCCAAAGGGCCAAACCAAGGTTTCCCAGACTTTTTCTTAAGGAACACATCCCATTTTTTGTTAAAAATTTAGGCTGTTTCTAGATACAAGTATAAACTTATTATAGACCTTATTTCAATATAATTTTAAAATGCTGCTACTCACAAAAGGTTGTAGGAAACTGAAGTAAAACAGATTGTTTTGAAATAGTATAAGGTACATTTCAGACTAAAAAATTGACTAGAAATCATTTAAAGGTTGAAGCGTTGAAGTTTGTATTTTTGTTTCAAAACAATTTAGGTCAGTTCAAAATTTATAGTCACATAGTTATAATGGTTTGTTTGTTTTTTCGTTATCAAGACAAACTAATACCGTAAAATCAATTTTTCTTTTCTGTATAGGCCCTACATGTGAATACTTCATTTGTAGACCTACTAGATGGAGTTAATTGTTCCAATAGTTTATGGAACACCCTTTCAAGCCTTGCGGTACCCTAATCATGTATACCTACTAAATGGAGTTAATTGTTCCAATAGTTTATGGAACACCCTTTCAAGCCTTGCGGTACCCTAATCATGTATACCTACTAAATGGAGTTAATTGTTCCTATAGTTTATGGAACACCCTTTCAAGCCTTGCGGTAGCCTAACGTTCCACGGAACACTGATGGAGGCCATTAAAAATCACAACTCCGAGAAAAGTTTAGAAACATTTGAAATCATTTTAATAGTACAGTACAAAACATAGGAGTATCACTCATCAGAATTATGTTACAATGCAGTGAAAAAAAAAAGTTGTATTACATAACTAGTATTATTGAGTGAGTTGAAAGGTGGTCAGAATAACAGAGGTGCTCCACTTGCTTTAATTGACATAGAAGAGAGCAGATGGCTGCATGCGGCTTCGGAACGAGTAGCTTACTTAGATCATTTACAAAGGCCGCAGGATAGGCTTAGGCCTACACTTTTGAGACCCAAAAAAATCATTGCCTAGGACAACGTAGACAGCGAAAAAAAGAATCTGAATCGACCACCAGCAGATAATGGTTAGGTCTGAACTGTATGTAGCAAAATATTTATGTCGCAACTGGGGTAAACTCCTCCTTAATCTTCGGACTCAAAGACAAGCTTAATAAATAAATAAATATGCATATATATATATATATTGTTCAGTCCTCCACAAACTATTTCAAACTTTGTATTTCCCTACCCCCCATTTTTTTTACTTTTTCACACACATTCATTGACTTTCTTTTGCTGATTACCCACGCCTAAACACCAGTGTATGATCCTTTCTTGGGAACAATGATGGGCAAATTACTGCTCCCGGGTTATGTCCGGCCCGCCACATGTGTTGCAATATAAATTTAAAATAAATTCATACACAATGGAAAAAAGTTTTGAATGTGTTGAAACATTCAAGTAAAAATGCTACAAACAATTTTAAGCCTGTCTCATTTGCAATAAAGCCATGTCGTTCATAAGCACTATATCCTGCTACTTCTCTTCTAAAACCAAACAACACTATTTATGAATCCATGACCAATGAGGATAGAAAACAAATCCGAAGATGTCCCAAACAAATTAGACCAGCAAAATCCTTTCAACAAATGTTATAGTGCTCAGACAGTCGATACATATACAAGTTCTATTGATCTGCAATAAAGATTTTGTTTAACAATATATCATTCAAGTTTTCCAAGTTGAAAGTCCTTAGAGTCAATAAATAACATTGTCCATCACAGTCGACTTCAAAGATGAGTAACTGTAAGTTCTAGACAAGACGAGTGTACTCAAGAGAATTTGATTACAGCAACACCTTTAGTAAAATCACTAATCTTAGAGAATTCAGGAGAGAAAAATAAAAACTAAAGTAGCTATATAGGCCCTAATACACAAAACCATAACTTACAAATAGAAAAACATGAAATAGGGCCTACTCAAAAAGACAAAAGCACATTTCAAATTCCATACGCTAGAACATACTCGTACAAGTGCTCCTTCTCTAGTGTCAGAGAATGGAATAGGTTGCCTGAATCAGCCAGGAAAACCAACGACTTAGCAGAGTTTAAGTAATTGATTAACAATTAGGCCTATGATTAGATTGACACTTGAAATTCGTAGGGCGTACCGGTAATTCTTTTTTTTTTTTTTTTTTTTGAAGTAACGTCTTTAATATATAAGATAAGAACAATACTGCATAAGTGGTAGTATTTATCAGAAAAATGTTCTGTTTCTTAAGATTATCAAGCTGCATGCGTTCCATGTGTATAATAAAAATGGTTTGAGGATCTCGAAATATTTGAAGATTTATCCGAGGCTCTCAGGTTTCGCATTTAGACAAATCTATCTGTTACATGAGTAATTGATATTAAGATTCACGGCACAAAAAAAAATCAATAACGAAGTTTCAAACAACTTTTTATTTACAAATCATCTAGTTAAAATGACTTGTCTCGTAACCTCGTTACATGACTGTAAGGCCACTGGCTGACGTGAAACAAGACTGATATAAAGATGGTGAATTTAAAAGGAGATTTAAAAAGACCTCTTAAGCTGTAGATGTAGGCCTAAATATTTTCAGAATACCTTTAAGTGTGTACGGTAAAATAGTGAGACTAAACTTGCAGCTTAATTTAATTGAACTCCAAACAATTTTTTCTAAATATTCTAAAATAGAGTTGTTCAAAAGGCTTGCCAAATTCCAGTTTTCCAAACGAAATCGCTGGTTCAGAGAATATATCCAATGTTTTTCTTTTGCTTTGATTCTATTTTAAGTGAGATATCAACACTAAACCATGCCCCAATGCAGCCAAGGGGGGTTTTGAGTTTAAAACCTCTACCAAGGGGTTTTTCAGTTAAATCCCCCTCTTCATTAAAAAAAAATGCAAACAACTATCACCATATTCCAAGAGCATAGCTAAGGAAGATTTTAATTTTAAAACTCCTTTGAAAGTACCGTAACGATATACACCCTCTTCAATATATAACTAAATCTATGAGCGTAGCCAAAAGGGTTTTGAGTTTAAACCCCCTTTAGCGGGTTTCGATGCTAATAATTACTTTTAATATATATATAAAAAATGCCAAACACCCCATACAGTGCTTTAAGAACCTCTCCTTTCTACAAAATCTAGATTCTTTTTTTTAGCGCACTTTCTTTGTAGCACTACCCATTCCCAAACTTTTTTGCTTTAAGGATGCCTATAGCAAGAGCTCTGATAAAAAAAACATTTATTGCACAAGTACTTAAAAAAAAAAAAAAATAAATAAATAAAACAAGACAAGTTTAATTTAGGAGGTTTATTGACCATCGAATAGAATAATTCGTATTCAGATTCAAAATATTTTAATCATTTAGTGTTACTTGTCATATCACTTCAGGACTAGTAACAATGAACTTAAACTGTTCAAACCAAAGCAGATTTCTTATGGACCATTAAAATTGGTTTTAACCCTGACCCAGGAAATGTCACAAAAGCTGGTAAACTAGACAGAAAATGTACAAATTATGTTGCAATCACTATTACAATTTGTCAAGGAAGTTGTCAAGTGGTGGGATGCCCTCTTTCAACCCTTTACGCTTTCTTGAAGCAATAACAATTTGGCCTGGTTTGGTGGCTGGGTCCTTAGGGTCACCTGGCAAAATCTGCCAATGATCAAAGACACACTGTGGGAAGGCTTGGCCTCCTGTATTAGAGCGCAGATCTGCAGTAAATCCTGTTAAACAAAAGTAACTTATTTATTCCACCTTACTTCAATCATTAAAAAAAATAACCAGGAAAAAAAAAAATTTAATTAAGAATTCTCTTACCAAAAGATTCATTAACAGGCATGTGGGCTTTTACAGTGATCTGTGGTGTATTTCCAATCTGCTGGTTATCAAAGACCACACCACGTCTTCTGTTAAGTACTCCAAAAATACCACCAACAGCTTGATCGGGACACTAAAAGGGAAATAAAATAAACAAGTACAATGTGGTATATCATATAGTAATTTTAAATAATTGTACATACTTTTGATTCAGTTAAATTGGCGATATGACGGGGAAAAAAATCATCACTATCAAAAGTATTCTTAGAACTAAAAGATTTTATTTTACAAAATAAATACCTGAATCTCGACCAAGTATACTGGTTCAAGTAGCCTTGGCTCAGCTGTCAGTGCAGCTGCATACAAAACTCTTCTTGCTGTGGGGATAATCTGACCACCACCACGGTGAATAGCATCAGCATGTAGTGTCACATCATACAGATTAAATCTGCAGCCTCTCATGTTCTCTTCACAAAGTACACCCTGTCAATCAATAAGGAAAATAGTTTTAAACAATTTCTTTTCAATGCAGGAAAAGAAATTGAAAGATTTTAAAGCATACTTTTATTTGGAATCAGTTAATTTGGCTTAAGAATATTTTCCTCTTCAAATATCGATAAGACGGGGAAAAAAAAAATCA